ATATTGGGGATGAGGTAGTCAATGAAAATGTAGCTGATAAGATTACAGATTTGGCATCAGATTTTGTATTTAACCATCCTACGCAAAGAATGGCTGAAAGGATTTTAGACATTGGTGGTAGAACAGTGTATCGATACGTTTTCTCATACAGTGGTAACAGAAATCTACTAAAAATACTGTTTAACTTGAATGCTACAGGGGCTATCCATGCTGATGAGCTGGGATATTTATTTGATAATGTTGAATTGTTTGGAGAGCAAGTAACATCACAAGACCAGCTCATGATTGACAGGCTTACGACGCTTTGGACTAACTTTGCTAAGTATGGGTGAGTAGACATTTTGGTTTATTTTTATCTTTCACATACGTACTAACCATGTGATTTATAGTAAAAGTATGTCAGTCATTCGTGTAACGATGATACTGTTTTTATTATAGATTTCTCTTGTATGACACATCATGATAATAATCTGTATTTTGTTGTCTTTAAGGTATTTTATCGTTATCATCTTTACTCATATGTATTCTGACAACTTATTGTTGTTTACTGCTCTTATCTGTAATACAATCTTTTAAAACTAAGTCATCTTTGAAGCTGTATCCAGTGGTACTAATACTAACTTAAATTGAATCGATCCAAATATTAGTGTTCAATGCTACAATTTAATTTTTTAATTTTAAAAAGGTTTATTTATTTGTCTTTCATCCCCTATTGCATAGGACTCATAACATAAAAGCGAAAAGTGGGTGTTACACTGTACAGTGACATTGAGTGCCGTAATGTGCACCTCTGTCTACCCCTTCGGTTACAAAAGGCGTGATGTGTTATGTTATGACCGTTTATTTGTGTGTTGGTATTATCGTTTTTGCTAACACAATGTTTATATCTTTAAATCCTCTTCTAAAAAACAACAGTAATTTGTTATTATTGGATTTGATTATTTCCTACAGTATTATTAAATTAGTAAACTTGACCATTCGATGTTTAATCTTCAGGGATCCAACACCAGCAATGTCGGACCTACTTCCAGTAAAGTGGCAACCTATCACGAAGACCAGCCAGCCTTATTTGAACCTCGACTCGGACCTTACTCTTGGAGCCAGGCCGTTCCACGACAGGATGGCGTTCTGGGACCTTTTCTACAAACTCTACAGAAATCAACAAAAATATGGACTTTCTGGAAAATGAGAATCCTTAAACATAATTATTATTGATTTTAACTCGTCGAATACCGTCATTGTAGACACAATTAAAGAACAATAGGTTGCGGTCACCGGTGACCGCTTGGTGTTTGACAGTTTAAATAATAGTGTAGGTCTGTAGGTAGTATTTTTTGGATTCAATATCTAATTAAACAAATTAATTTAGTTCTATTCATACTTTTACTTTAATATTAATTTAAACCACACTATAGTCTTTTTTATATGATAAACCAGCTGTAAATGAGTATACAGATCACCTGATGGTAAGCAATTGGCGTCGCCCATGGAATACCAGCGGTGTTACGCAAGTGCAAACCGGCCTTTTGGGGATTAGGAATTTGAGGATTGTAGGGGAGATTGTAGATGTAGGGGGGAGTATTTGGGCCTGCGGTAACATCTTTCACACGACGTAACACAAAACAAGTGTTGTTTCACGTCGGTTTTCTGTGAGGCCGTGGTATCACTCCGGTCGAGCCGGCTCATTCGTGCCGAAGCATGCCTCTCCCATACTTAGTTGGGGTATACCTGTGCATTCAACTAATTTATCCATATATTTTATGTTTATCTGTCTCGATGGCGATATTCTACAAAACTGGTAACGATAGGTATATATATACGTTTTAACTTAATTTAATTTAGAAGAACGTAGTCGTGGCATGTGAAGGCTACATGCTAGATGGGCCGACGATTTTATCAGAGTTGTGAGAAACTGGGGAGCCATTGAATGCAAGTAGCGAGTTATGCGTGGAGACTAAGGAGTGGGAGAACAGGGAGGCCTTTATTCAGCAGAAGATATCTTCTAGCTGACGATGATGATGATGATGATAATGGATTTTAGTTCATACACATTGAATAAAGCACTTACTGATATTTTTTTATTTAACCGTTTGTTAACAATTTTAGAAACCACAGCCAACACATTTGTTTCTGCTGCTATCATCAAAATGTTACCCTTTAATCTGGGCCTTTAGTAAAATGCCACTTTAGCGCTTAGAAGTACCAGGAAATCAAGGACTAAAAGATCAAGTGCTAGCTCTGAGGTGGATCAATGAGAACATTGAAGCATTTGGAGGCGACGTTTCACAAATAACCGTATTTGGTGAAAGTGCCGGTGGAATGTCTGTAAACCTTCATTTGCTGTCTTCATATGAGCGATTGTTCCACAAAGCTATAATCCAAAGTGGACCTGCTTCAAGTCCATGGTTGATTATGGAACCGGATAAAACAATACCAATTAAATTGGCTAATTCCTTAGATTTTGAAACTGAAGATATACTTGAAGCTTTAGAGTATCTTGCATCTGTAGATGTTCATACACTGGTTAAAGTTGCTCATGATTTGAAAATAAGTGATTCTACTGCAACTAAAAGCCCTGGTACCCTGCCATGTATAGAGAAGGAAATTGATGGCGTAGAGTCTTTTATAACTGATCATCCAATGAACATAAATACCCCTAAAGTCCGCAACACTCCTGTGATTATTGGTCACACAAACAACGAATATGGATTTCAATATAGATTAGCTGATTCTGTTTTTTTCGCAAACTATGACTTTGGCTTGCTATCAAACGCTTTTGATTTGGGAGACAATTGGGAGGATGCTGTAAATGACGTAAGACACTTTTATATTGGGGATGAGGCAGCCAATAAAAATGTAGCTGATAAAATTACAGATTTCGCGTCAGATTTTGTATTTAACCATCCTACGCAAAGAATGGCTGAAAGGATTTTAGACATTGGTGGTAAAACAGTGTATCGATACGTTTTCTCATACAGTGGTAACAGAAATCTACTAAAGGTGCTGTTTAACGTGAATGCTACAGGGGCTATCCATGCTGATGAGCTAGGATATTTATTAGATAATGTTGAATTGTTTGGAGAACAAGTAACACCACAAGACCAGCTTATGATTGACAGGCTTACGACGCTTTGGACTAACTTTGCTAAGTATGGGTGAGTAGATATTTTGGTTCATTTTTATCTTTAACTAGCTACTTCCACGCGGTTTCACTCGCTCTACTCGGCGCCTATTAATAGTAGCGTGATATTTTATAGCCTTATAACCTTCCACGATAAATAGGCTATCCAACACAAACAGAATTTTTTCAAATCGTACCAGTAGTTTCGGAGATTAGCGCGTTCAAACAAAAAAACAAACTTTTCAGCTTTATAATATTAGTATAGATAATTATACATATTACATACTGACCATGTAATTTATAGAAAATGTATGTCAGTCATTCGTGTAACGATGATACTGCTATTATTATAGATTTCTCTTGAATGACACCATGATAATAATCTGTATTTTGTTGTCTTTAAAGTATTTTATCGTTATTAATGTTTACTGCTCAACAACTTACTGTTGTTTACTGCTCTTATCTGTAATACAATCTTATAAAAACTAAATCATCTTAGAAGCTAAGTCCAGTGGTACTAACACTAACTTAAATTGAATCGATCCAAATATTAGTGTTCAATGCTAAAATATTACTTTTCGTTTTGACAAGATTTATTTGTATCTCACCCCCTATTACATGGGACTCAAAACATAAGAAGCGAAAAGTGGGTGTTACATTGTACAGTGGCATTGAGTGTCGTAATATGCACCTCTGCCTACCCCTTTGGGTACAAAAAGCGTGATGTTATATTTATTTGCTTGTTGGTATTATCGGTTTTGCTAAAACAATGTTTATATCTTTTCTGAATCTTCTTTAGAAAAACAACAGTAATTTATTGTTGGATTTGATTATTTCCTACAGTATTATTAAATTAGTAAACTTGACCATTCGATGTTTAATCTTCAGGGATCCAACACCAGTAACGTCGGACCTTCTTCCAGTAAAGTGGCAACCTATCACGAAGACTAGCCAGCCTTATTTAAACCTCGACTCAGACCTTACTCTTGGAGCCAGGCCGTTCCACGACAGGATGGCGTTCTGGGACCTTTTCTACAAACTCTACAGAAATCAACAAAAATATGGACTTTCTGGAAAATAAAGAACATTTATTGATTTTAAATAATGGTGTAGGTCTGTAGGTAGTATTTTTTGGATTCAATATTTAATTAAACTAATTAATTTAGTTCTACTCATACTTTTATTGTTACTTATGTTATTTTAAACTACACTACAGATGTTTTATAGAATAAGCCTGTAAACGAGTACACAGATCATCTGATGGTAAGCGATAAGCGTCGCCCATGGACACTGGAATACTAGAGGTGTTACGCAAGTGCGTTACCGGCCTTTTAGGGATTAGGAATTTGAGGATTGTTGGGTATTCAGGTAGATTGGGGAAGGGGGGAGGGTATTTGAGCCTCCGGTAACCTCACTCACAAGACGAAACACACCGCAAGTGTTGTTTCACGTCGGTTTTCTGTGAGGCCGTGGTATCACTCCGGTCGAGCCAGCTCATTCGTGCCGAAGCATGCCTCTCCCACACTTAGTTAGGGGTATAACTGTGCATTCAACTAATTTATCCATAAATTTATCTGTCTTCATGGCGATATTCTACAAAACTGGTAAGGACAGAGAAACACAGGCTTTAGTAGCAAACCTTCGTCGCAACATTTAAAGAGTCTGTATGAGAGCTGTAAGTGGTACTAGTGTGCGTACTCGTAAATCTTAGCGCAGCGGCCTAGGATGGAACATGGTAAGTTATAGGAGAGTTCATATTTAATACTTGCTTCTGCCAGCGGCTTCGCCCGCGCTCCTAGGGGTAAAAGTAACATATATACTAATTCAGACCATAACCTACGTCTGTTGCAAATTCCATCCCGCCTCCTTCTGCTATTTTAAAGTGACATACAAACAAACTCAAATATTTACGCATTTATAATATTGATTGTACAAAAATATGTGACAACCGCCCGTTATTAAAATAAAAATTAAAATGGAAGTTGACTACTTACCTCTTATAATTGCATTTTTATATTTTGTTGTATTCGCATATATCTCTACATTATTCTGATCGCAATTTTTCACGCACATGTACACACATATTCTGCAGAATTTTGTTTTGTTTGTATAATTTTATTATCTTTTATTATTAATTATTTTCTTTTCCTTATTGAGGGGCGGTACTGCCGTCCGTGAGTCACTGCAGGGTGCCACCTGAAAACCAGCGTTGGGCAGGAACGCTCAACTATATGCTGAGGTGGTCGCCCTTTTGGCCTGGGCACGCGCACTTTATTATTTTTATATTTCTTTCCTTGTTTTATATATATAATTATACTTTTTTTTTGTTTTTAGTTTTATTTTTTTAGTTCCGGTTATTATTCTAATTATATTTTGTTATGTTTTAATGATTTTTGTTCATTTCTTTTCTCTTTCATAAAATCTATTATTAATGTTTTGTTTTTATTTTTTCACTGTATTTTTATTTGTATTGTAATGATCCTTGTCTTCGTGTGCCAATGGCCAAATAAATGTATTTTCTTTCTTTCTTTCTGATTCAAGCAAATTTCGACCATCGTCGCTGCAGTTACAACTTAAAGTCTACTGCGGGCAACCTAACATTCGACAAATTTATATTTGCGTTTGGTACAATAACTGTGTCTAGTGATCGAGCCGCACAATTAAGTTTGTTTTTGTGTGTGTTTACTTTTTCGGAATAAAAAGTACTCAGTATGATGTACAGGATAATAAAGTATAATCATACCAAGTTTCACTGTAATCAGACCGGTAGTTTTTGCGTGATGCGTGAACATACAGACAGACAGACAGATAGACAGACAAAAATATTTAATTCACATTTTGTAGTTCGGTGTCTATCTACTAACACCCCCAACTATTTATTTTTTCAATATTTTCATCGTACCAAATTTACAATTCTACAGTTTTATTATATGTACCTATAGATATAGATTTCTCAATAATTCTTATTCGCATCTGATTACCTAGTTCAAAAGTTCCATGTCTGAGGGCGATAAAATAACTCAAACATTCTAGGTCTGATACCCAAAATTAGCAATTTTAGATCCTGGAAATTCTAAGACTGAAATGGAAGCAGGAAAGTATACATAATACAGGTTGCTTTCAATCAGCTGATCTAAACGTCTTTGAAGAGGTCTATGTTCAGCAGTTTTGTGGCTGGTATGAAGAAGATTATGATGCAGTTTTGTGTTTAATAAATTCAATAATTTCCTTCATTGTTTCTATCTCAAGGTGCAAGAAAATTGGGTCAGTGTAAGCGAATAAATACTCGAAATTATACCAGTAAGTTACCATGGCGCATTTGTTAGCTCCCGACACCGGAAATGATGCCACTAGCGGCCCTCGCCATCTGCCCTGAACGTTTTCCACTACCATCCAGAAACGAATTCGGAATGTTAGTGAATTTATGTGAAAGCATGATGTCTGATAAGTATTCGACAATTTATTAAACTGTCAAACACCAAGCGGTCACCGGTGACCGCAACCTATTGTTCTATAATTGTGTCTACAAAACCGGTACTCGACGAGTTAAATTAAATACATAATTTATTAATGCTTTTATTAAACAAGATGTGTTCGGGCCTGGATTTTTACTGAAAATTATTTTTTAGATCTATTTTTTACAACATCACCAGCCCACGACAGTTCATTATTGCTAAGACTATGGGTCTCCTCTATATAAGGGGGTTGGCCACCATTTGTCTCTAGTAAACATCAGCTCATCTTAGAACGAACATGACTTACTTACTTGAGACCTGATAGTAAAATTGCTAACCATTAATCGAGTCTAGCTATATCCTCATTTGATAATGAGAGTGATATAGCGTTATGAAATTGAATAGAAAATTGTTAGTCTTCTATTACTCTTCATTCCAACTCCGCCCCTGTTACCTATCTATTTATCGATTCCCGGCCAGCAATCTGATATATTATGCGCTTACATTCGCCTGCGGAATTATCCGCATTCAGCGTCTATTGTTGCACTCTAATCGATTTCATGTATACCAAGGAAAGATAGGATTATAATGTTTCTATATAGTTATTGTGCCAATTCTAGACCCGACTGAATGGTGAAATTACGGAACAGTCAATGAGAGATGGGTAGCTTAAATTCTTAATTTTCGATGACCAAATAAAATTCACCTGCCTAGCGTTGGAGTGTGGGGGTCCCGCACTAATATTATAAACGTGAAAGTTTCTTTCTTTGGATGTATAGATGTTTCTCCGTCAATCACGCTGAAACTGCTGAACGGAATGTGACGCACTTTGGTACACAGGCAAGGTGACTGACTTAGGTGATAGGATACGTTTTATCCCGATTAAGTGCTCCCATGGGATAAAACAGGAATCATATTGTACGCGGACGTGGTCGTCGTCGGGCAACAGCTAGTAGGACAAAATATACTTTGGTAGGAGTGGAGAGGTTTTTGTTCAGATGTAGACGTCTTTCAAACAGGTGATGATAAAGGGCTGAGCTGAATTCTAAGTCGTTGGTTGAGCATAGTGAGTATGGCAACACTTCTGGCAGGCGACTTAGTTCTCAACTACAGTCGTGGTGGCCGTGAGGTTTAAGACGCCCGCTTCTCATGCATGAAGATGCGGGGCCGTAACTCGGAAAAACTTGGAAAAAGTCACTTTGGTTCTTGCCGTTGGTAAGTTTCGAACCAGCACTCTCATGTATTAGAAACGGGAGTCTTAAACCTCTAGGCCAAAACGATTTTTAAATCTCAGTAGAAACACGTAATTTGGTGTTGTGTCGGTATTGTCTCATGGCCTTACTATACTTACTTAAAGTTATACTTTAAGAATTGTTTACAAACAATAAATCATACAACTAATTTAAAAACGTTAAAGAAAATTGAAGGAAAACTTCGCAGTAAGTTTCTTGAAGTTGCAGCGTCCAAGTGCAAATTAAACTTATTTTATTTTCCATTTTCTAGGAAAATGTAAGAACAGTTAGCAGCTAATGAGTTAAAGTTGCATTTTTCGATACTTACTGCGGTTTTTGTCCACTGACTGATTATTTAAGGTGCCTACACACAGCAGTTATATATAACGTTATACCACATTACATAACACGATAGCATTGTGTAACATATGCAACGCAACAACAATGCAAGTTGTTGAGTTGCATAGAAAAAATAGAAAACATCCGCAAATATTCAAGAGTACTAATTTTTTTTATAAAATAACACCCAGGTAAATGTAAACTTCATTCTGGGTTGTTCGATAAAATTGTAAAAGCGTGGCTCCTGGCACTCCACAGCATTTCGTGTCGATGCTGCCGCAGTTCAGAGTGGCTACTTCAACTCCGTAAATTAATGTGAAATTCCGACGAACATCAGCTGTTTTGTAGTGTTGTTTTGAAGTGAAAGAATACCTATTTTTTGTTGGTTATTTAGTTTTTTGTTTATTAGACTATTTTAATTGGTGTAGAAGTTGTATTCGTATCAAGTGTTACAAAATAAGAGGTATGTAAATAAATAGGCGACAAGACCGCCTCGTTGGCCGAGTGGTCGCAAGTGCGCCTGCATGGGGTTTTGTATTATTAGTTCTTTTTTTAATTCTCAGTAGTAGCACGGAGTCTGAAATTGTGCCCAGTATTCGGCAATAGGCTCAACCCCTATTACATGAGTCTCATAACATAAATAGTGAAAAGTGGGTGTTAAAACAGTGGCAAAAAGTGCCGTAATGTGCACCTCCGGGGATAAAAGGCGTGGTCTTATGTATGTTATGTGTGACGTAAAATGCCACTTTACGCCTACATTCGATTTTTGAAAAAAAGTAGTAACAATGAGGAGTTTTGAACTGTGTCCAGTCCATGGCACTAGGCTCAACCCTATTGTGTAGGATTCACGACATGGTGAAAACTGAATGATAATACATATAATTATACTATATTATATTACTAGCTGTTGTCCGCGAATTTATCCGCGTAGAATACATATAGATACAGATAATAGAGTTTGAGAACATAACTCTACAGACAATTTTTTTTTATTTTAGTATGTGTATCGTATGTATTCATAAGCATGTAATAACCAGCGTTTTTTTAATATTACA